AATGACGATTATCAGACTTCAAATGTACGCCAAGAGTTTAATTTTTGGTTTGACGTCTTACATACGTCATCTGTTCCTAGGAGAAAAAAATGAATGACGTGTCTCAGACGTCAAATGTACCTAAAGGGTTAACAATGTAATATGCGTGTATATGTTGCATCGAGGATGAATGCGATGATCCCCATTGCTGCATGGAAAAGAAGAAGTAGGAGGCCGCTGCCAACAACGACGACAACGAATTGCATCGAGCTACGAGCAAGCAGTAGGAAAGAAAGAAAGAAAGGGAGGGAGTTGGATGCAACAACGATGGGAGGGGAAATAGGATGGGAAGGTTCGTCCCTGGAACGTATAGTTCATTCACACGAGCGTATAGTCTTCGTCGTATCTCGCTAAATATAATATGGCGGAGTCCAAGATCTTCTGACCCATCATCCATCGTCTATCCCCAAAACCCTTAACTCAGCCCCCACCAAACAATTCCACTGTTCCCTTTTCCCCACAGCCCTAAAGTCTTCTTTTTTTCCTCAACTTATCTCTCATCGCTATACTACACTACTCTATTACTGTTCATCGTTATTATTATACTACATACTAATACTACTACTACTATTAAATACTATTACTTCTCCTCTCTTTTATCCCCCTTTTTTTTTTCTTTTTTTTTTAAACGAATGCACCCAAATTAAACGCCCCTGCGATTTCGCTTCGTCGTCGTCGTTTCGCGACGCAACGAAATCCCAGACGCTTTTTCTGTAGGGAGGAGAATCTCTCGTGCACTCTGCCCTAACCTTCTTTACAACACTACTACTACTACTATACGAGCACACTGATGCTGCTGCTGCTGCTGCAAACACCATCATTGCCGTCATGAAAGATTATGCACTCGCTAGCGTAACCTTCTTATACGGCCCTGAAAATGAGAACGACCTCTTCCGCTAGAATTTATACTTAAGACGTTTAGATATTTCTTTTGAAACAATTGTGTTAACTTGTCTGTCTTTTTTATTTTCTATTATCATGTTTTATTTTCTTTATTTTTCATTAATTATATTTTTCTTAAGCGTGTATGTTTGTATACTGGATATATGCGTGTACGGGTGTGTGTAACGAGATAACTGAGTATATTATCTCTTTATTCACGTATTCATCATTAATAATAATCTCTTCTTTGATTCACAAATAGAGATTAGAGTTAATTTAACCTCGTTGTTTATTACGTTTTCAAGATCATTATCAAATGCATACCTATACGATTAATCATTACATGACTCGTATAGTCAATATATTCCTATTTGCATTTGACGTTCCTTAATTTATCCGAAAAACTTTTTCAACAAGTGGTTGCGTTCTGACGAGATGATACCTCGTCAGAAATATTTTCAAATTTACGTAGCCCTATCATCGAGCTTACTTTTACATATATTTCAATTTTAAACCATAAAGAAAAAGTAATACATAAAACAAACATTTATTTTGATAACCTGTTACATAGAGATGAATATTCTCATTGATACGTACCCAAATTAAAATTATTTAATAATGCAAAATAAAATAATTAAAAATGATGATTTAATTGTTTCTTCTTTCAGGTGTCAACAATCAAATTTAAATATTAAAAAGTCCCTGTTCGCAGTCGTAATAACGCGACTACATAGTAAATAATAATTTATTGATAAGATTGATCCAAAAAGAAAAATGGCCAATTGAATTTGTTTGTATTTTTGCAGGTATACCATGAAAGAAATAAAGAAAGAAACAAGGAAGGAAGGAAGGAAGGAGTGAAATAAGGAATTCTGAGAGGAGGAAATAATATCATTTGGAATAAATCGGATTCGTGCGCCAGAAGAAAAGAAATAGAAGGAAAGATGGATAGGAAAGATGATAGGAACGAAAGATTAAAAAGAGATCAAAATATAGATATATAGATATAGATAGAGATAGAAAAAGAAGGAAAGAAAGAAATAATGAAACCCAGAGAGAGAGAGAGAGAGAGAGAGAGAGAGAGAAATATTCTTCCAACGAGAGCATTCATCGTTTATGGAAAATAAAGGTTATCAGCTATACTTGATGACACTAACCCGTAGATCCGAACTTGTGGGCTTTTTTATATGCATACCGCAAGCTCCTATCTACCGGTACATGTAGTCAGGCCGGCGTTAAAAAAGCTCTCCAATTGATGGGAACCCTCTTCTTCCTCCTCCCAAAAACCTCTCTCTTTGTACCCTCCGAAATGATGGGCTTACTGCACTTCCGGTTATCGAGAGGCTCCCAAGTTTTCTTGCAAAAGTTATTTCCTCAGGAAAGCGAAAAAAAAAAAATATACACACACACACAGAAATAGAAAGATAAATAAAGAGAGGGTGGGAGGGAGAGAAAGAAAATGAGAGAACGGGGAAGAAAAAAAAGAAAAAGGGGCAAATGAAAGTGGATCGTCCTATTCCTATTTTTCTCCTTTTTTTTTTTGTTTTTTTTTTTTTATTTTTCTCAGTGCATACCGGATACATTCAATATGCACGCGTAGCATATATATCTCACAGCACGCACATGCACGTACGCATACGCACACTTATAAGCAACCTCGGGGTAAGGTAAAGTTTAAGAAGCATATATCAAATCAAAATAAAATGTGTGTCTCAACGCCGAAAATCATACGACAATTTATATTACCATCTTCCTTTTATTTTTCCATAACGGCATAATTATTGTTACGTATCGAATATCAAATGCAATATGGTGGATATTTTTATATTTTTATGTTGTTCGTAAATAATTAAAGAAAAAAATTGCAATAATAATACGTCGTGAGCCATCATCAATGCTTTTTTTTATATAATAATTTTAATCAAATAATATCGTGTACTGCGAGAAATAAAAAGGAATGATTTCAATGCGTTTTCACATGTATAACTTTAAGTAATATATATTTATTATACTTAAGTAGAAGAGAATTTCGACAGTGAAGAAGGGTGAGGAAGAGAGTGAAAGACGAAAAATAGTGTGGCTTCTCTATGTATATAATATTATTTGTTCCAGCGGCGGCGCCTGGGTGAGGTAGTAGGTTGTATAGTAGGGAATGGAAATTCGCGATATACGAAGTCCACTGTACAACTTGCTAACTTTCCCGGTCGTCGGCGTCTCGACGAAGAGGAATCACACACAACAGACAAATTATAAGGACGAGAGACTACTACTATTATTATTATTACTACTACTAATACCAATACTTATATTTATACATAATGTTACTTATATACAATTATATCGTTCGCCTTCTTTCTTTATCATTCATAAAAATAGAGATAGAAAAAAGAGAATGCTGTTGTTGCAGTAGAATAAATAATAAATTGGACGTGATTATATCGGAAAAGAAAGAGAAAGAAAGAGAGAGAGGGCAAGATAGTAATAATACAAAGTAATTTTTTTAAAGCATGTCAAAGTGTGACTATATATATACTTCCTATGTATATATAATTATATATATATATATGTATACATATATAAAAGCTCGTTAGTCAATGGTAATCGTCCAGATTCAAACGCGACGTCCGTTCGTCGATTACTTCGACGAGCAATTTTAACATGACCGAGTGAATTACTGGATAATGCCTATCTAAGCGATGTACTACTTGTTAAATCGTTCTGGAAAATAAGAGAATACGATTACAGTAGTTTAACTTTAGATTTCTCAATGAATATATAATATATCGAGACGTAGTATTATATATCGTTTATGTTCAATCAAGTATATACCACAGTAGTATGTAAAAACATTAACAAAAAGAAACATACTTTTTCTCATTCAAAATTTATTTGTCGATCAATAATTCGAATTGGTATAAAATGTTAATTAGTAACGTTTGGCTTAACATAGACGACAATATATATTACTACCGTAAATAACTTCTATGTATTTAATAGACACATACATAATATGTGAATATTAATTTCATTTAATAATTTGTTATAATTTTTCTAAGCTCTAAAAAAATTACACAATATCACTAAAGAAAAATGGATGGATAAATATATATATATATATATATATACATATACATATATATATATATATATATCTAACGAAGTAAGAAAAAGGGCAATGGCGGGCGGGCTGAGTAAAGCCTGCCGCGTCGCCGGTTCCCTGAGACCCTAACTTGTGACGTCGCGTCCGATATCTCACAGGCTAGATTCTCTGGTATTGGCGATGAGTGCTGCCTTTTGTCAATCAAAAGTCAGTTTTAACGACAAATAAAGAAAAATATAGAAAATGAAATAAAATGGTCTGGCCATCGATTAGCACGTAAATAAAGACATGCACACATACACACACATATCGTGTTTATACGGACTCTATGTGAACTCTTATAATATAATATATCATATTTATATAATATTAATAAATCATTCGTAAATGAAATAAATTTAATTAGAAAAATTCATAAATATAAATATAAGATAATAAGTTGTTGTGTGTAAATATTTTTAACATTTAGTTTTGCGACTCTCTTGCAATATTCTTCCTATTATACGCGTCGCCATCTTGAAGCTCTCTTAGAATTCACTTATTGTCAGTTTGATCAACTGAATTTTTATTGAAAATATATTTTTTAATTTTCTATTATACGATTAGTAACCTGTTCAATGTTTCATGTTAGTAAAAAAACTTTCTATATGAATACATAATAGCGTTACGTATTAAATTAATGCAGTAATTATGGGTGTATATGTGGTATCAATGCATACGGAGAAACATCATGTTAATACGTTATGTGACATTGTATTATACATCGTGAAATGAAAAATTGCAAAAATGAAAATGCCATTCCATACATAATATACATTTAGAAACAAAAATAATTAAATACAAAAAGCGAGTAGATTTATTTAAGCAAGAAAATATAACAATTACTTTATTTCTTAACAATGAATCTTTATATTTTGTAGATTATCAATAATTATTTTTTACATAACACATTACATAATAATAATAATAATAATATAAATTAGGCATACCACAGTATATTTCAATATTTTCTCATTATATCGATATTATCATTTACATTATTAAAACTCTTTCGTTGTGTATATTTTCTTTTGGATATACATTTTACATTATATTACATTTTATAAGCTCTTAAAAATATGATTAAAAAGGATAAAAAAGATGAAAGTTATCTTTTATGTACGCGATTATACCTAGAGACCTAAGTATATATTATTCAATATATCTTCATACTCTTTCAAAAACAAATTCTGTCATAATAATTAGAATATTATAAAAATCTAATCATAGTAACGTTTACCTTCTTCGACTAATTTACTTAATTCAGCAGCAGAATAACCTAATAATTGTTTCAAATCACAAACGAACTTATAAACGAATCTTTTTCCATGAACTTTGGATATCATATCACCATCATAATAATAACGTAAGGCTCTACTTAATTTTTCATAATTCATAGATGGTTTATTTTTACGTGCACCCCATAAGTGTGCAACAGTTTCCGGTTGGGTTAATTTAAATTCTCCTTCTGTTCCAACCCATTGTATAGAACTTCTGTGTTCACGATCAGTCAATAATTCCAATAAAAATTGCCATAATTGTATTTGTCCGCTATTAACAGAACGACTTGATGTTGCTATTGTAATTGGTGTTGTATCAAGATTTTCCAATGGTACGTGGACTATTCGTGTTTGTTGATTAATAACTGGCCGTGCTTTAGGACTCTTTTGACTACGTACTTTCATTGTTTTGTTTGTGTTATTTTCATTTACCGATGGTGGAACATCTTTTTGTATAACAGCTATGAAACAAAGAAAAGAATATATTGATATATGTTTGTTCAAAGAAAATATTAAAACTAAATATATTTTCCTATATCAACTTACCAACAAATTTACATTTTCTTAGTAATTCCAAGTGTGTCCAAAATATATCACCAGGATCAAGTGGTACTTTACTCTGAAAATCTTGAAGGGTGAGATTGCACAATTGTTCACCAGTTATATTCCAATCGGCTAAACGCAAGGAAACTAAATTGAATTGTCTGACAGCCCATTGAAGCCAATGCTTAACGTGTGTTTGCGACCAATCTATAGGATCAGTTGGTATCTTCAGGCGTTCCTGATCATAAATTATGCATGTAAAATTACACAACAATATAGTGTATTAATTAATTAGAGAATATCATTTTTCTATTGCAATAGTTCAATGCAATTTATACCTGTTCTTTCTTATACTGTGGATCTATCATCCATTTCATAACATTTTGTTTGTTATCTTCGTTATACGATGTCACTGCTGCAATACAAATATTCTAATAATATCTGAAAAAACGATAAAAGTTAACATTTATACTTACTATTATTTTCGGCAAGTTCGATGTAGTCTTCTGCGGGTTTTAAAACATCTACAATATTAATACGCTTTTGTACAGTTTTTATTTGAACATTGACTTGAACGAGACCTTCCCCTTGTACACATTGATCGACCAAATTTTTGTGACATTCAAGCTGTAAGAAAAATTAGAAAAGTTATTCTTATTTTGTTTATAAATCAAATAGACAAAATTAAGTAAGACACATAATATGTTTTTTTACTAATTTACCATTTGTGCATCTTGCAACCAAAAGGAATAATCTGTAAGATCGCCTCCTAATCTTTGTTCCAAAAGATTTCTTAACTTGGATAAAGGTTCTCTAATATCCATGTGTTGCATCAAAATACCATCATAATCATCGCTATTGATACTACTTTCTAAAGAAAAACTTGGTTCAACTTCTAAATCAGAATTATCTTGTTGAAACTGTGCCATTAAATCGTCATCTTGGGATAATATAGCTTCGGGTTCCATTTTGATACGTTGTATCATAGCATACTCAGAATCATCGTCCGTATCAAAACTGTATATTGAAATATAGGTCAAATTAATATTACATGTAGATCATATGATAAGAAACAAAATTAATATGAATACCTTTTTAAGGTTATGTCGTATGAAAAGTTAAAAATTCAATAATAACCTACGAATTACCTTTTCTCTGAATTCTTTCGACGAGTTCCCAAGTCCATGGAGATTCGCGGAATAGAAAAATGATATAATAATTAAAACAAATAGGATAAATAATATTTACTTTTGAACATAGTATGCATAAATGTGGTATAACAAACTTATACTATTATCACGTAGAATCACTGAACAAATGTAAGTTTCTTGGACAAAATATTATTTTCATTTAAAGTTTTTTTTACAAATTTCTTTTAAACAATAACGTGCATTTACGCGTAATAAGAAAACTAATTTTGTAAGTTTAAACTGTGAAAACAATTAGTCTTATACTGTCGTAGTATCTTTCGATGATTCGAAAGCAACGCGCTCATACGATGAAGAGCCGAACTAAACGCTTCGAAAATTAATTAATAATTCTCACACCGTTGATATTTTTTATAATAATTTTCTCTGAAATATTTTACTGAAATAATATATAATTATGTTTCCGTATTGACAACATTTATTCAAGATAATTTTATATACATTGAATACTACAAATAAGAAAAGAAGCAACTCATCACCTACATAGACATATATTTGATTTATTGCTTTAATGCTGCATCAAGTAGTTTTTCACCAAGGTGTGCAAATTCTTTTGATGCTTCACAATGTTCCATGAGATTAGAATTAAAGTTATCTTCACCATAAAAAGCACCTGCCAAAGCACCTGTCATGCTACCAATAGTATCTGTATCTCCACCTAAAGTAATCTGAAAAATATATCACCCATGTATATAATTCAAATAAATTATATGTAGTATTACATTATAATTATAGAATAATTAACTTACGGCATATTGTATAGCCCTTCTAAGTGGATTTTCAGTTTCTATATCTTTAATGGACTCTTGTGCTCTTAAGAAACAAAATATTGCTGTAGGTACAGAATGAAGAGCAGCTATACTATTACCAAGTAGTCGAATTACTTCTTCATTATTCAAAACGTCTTCATCTTTGGTAATTAACTCTTGTAACATTTCTAATTTCAACTTGTAAGGTTGCGGTTCAACTAAATCCAAACTATAAGAAGTTTATGATGAGAATGTCATGAATAATAATTCAATTTATATAACAACTTACCCTTCATCGTCTTCCTCTATTTTATCCATTTTTTCAATAAGTTCTTTAATAAAATTAGAAACATTTAATCCGTCTTTTGGATTCAAACCGAGACACTGCTGAATAGCTAATGCCTAAAAAACAAAAATTCGTAAGATTCTTGCAGCCAAAATTGCATTAATTTTTTGATCTTCAAATACCTGTAAAATAGCACCGTCTATGCCAGTTTTATGAGTATGTGTAATTTCTGTTGCTCTCCTAGTTCTATCTATAAGTTTTTCATAATTTTGATAAGAAAATAATGCAATAGGTGCGACACGCATTGCACCTCCGTTACCCCAAGAACCTTGCCCATTAAATTGTTCCCTTGCAGGAAGTAAAACGTCTTTAAATTTATTACCACGTAATTTCTGAAAGACCTAAACGAAGAGATTATTTTAATTGTTAGTATATTACTTTAATTAGCCAATATTTGCTAACAATAAGTGCGTTTAATACTAACGGTTACAACACCTGGTCCGTAACCACGAAAAGGTTCCTGATAATAGCTTTTTACAAATCTTTTCGCTAAATCAATCAGATCTAAGTCCTCTTTTTCGATTAACGATTCAGCTACACATCGTGTCATAGCCGAGTCATCTGTGAACTGCATGACAGGTGCTAAATAGAATTGAAACAAAAAACAAACAATAAGAATAAATAAATAAGAAAACAATATGAAACTTATTATTGGAATTGAATGAATTTTCTAACCTTTAAATGTTACCGGACTTTCTAACTTGTTAAAAGATTTTTGTAAAACGAGCTTTGAGCCTCTCGATAAAAGTTCATCATTTTCATAAGGAGCGCCAAGGCAATCACCCATCAAAACACCTAACATCGATCCACGAAATTTACTTTTTAACAATTGCAAATCCATTTTTGTTAAGTAGGAATAAAGGAATGTCTTCTATCACGTTACGCGTTACGAATAGAAACGAATAAATTCAATCATGGGTACTAAATGTAACACGTAAATGTACCTTCTTATATATATATAGTAACATAATATATAAATAATTATTTATAATTAGTTTACGTACATCTATATCCATTATAAAAGTCACTTTTATTGTACTCTATCGTATATCATAGAAATGTAGTATACATTTATATATATAATATATGGGGAGAGAGAGAGAGA